AGCAGACGCCTTAGCTGGGCTCGTGGCCGGTTGGGGAAGCTCCACAGGAACCGTAACTGGTCCAGGAAGGGCAGTCTCAGACAGAGCTGACTCCGCAGCGGAGGACTCCGAAGCGGACTCCCACGAGACACGTCTTCCCCGTTTGCCGCAGAGACTCGTGGGCGGAGATGATGTCTCAGGAACTGAAGCGGTGTGGGCCTGGTCCCCAAGTGTGACCACAGCTAGTACAGGACCCTCCGGGATCACGGGCAGCTTGGCGGATGATGAGCTCGTGGGTATCTGTGACTCTCTCCGAGACAAGCAATCCACCAAATCAGTGAACGGATAGGTCACCAGCTCCTCCCGTTCAGCCAGGGGTGGAAGAGAGTTGAGACCTGCAACGAGGTAGCAGTTTAGGAGGAACTCCGGGATGAAAAACCCCCTCTCGTTCGCAACCCGGGCATACTCCCTTATCGATAGCCGTCCCTGAGCGGGAATCGGGAGTTTGCCTCTCCTCGAGTCAGCGATGGTCTTGAACCACCAATCCTTAAGTTCATCGGAGTCATGCTTGACAAGGAAGGACATACCGTCAGCTGGGTTCGATGTTGGTCGGTTCATTCTGTTACGGGTGTGCACGGAGATGAACCCAAACGCAGACGGTGTACAATGAACTCAGGGTTTATTGGGACAAAACAGGAAAACAAAACCCACGAGGGGGCAAAACAGACGAAACGAGGGATATAAGACTGGCAAGACTAGACTAGATAATGACTAAACAAGAAACAAACAACACTTAGTATAATACTAACAATGACTACTAACTACGACATTCAATGACAAGAATTTCCACAGAATACTCACAGGTAACATTTGGCAATGAACCGACACAAGACAGCAAACACAAGGGGATGAAATAAGGAGACTAATCAAGACATAACAGGTGACACGGGTAAAGCAATAATGACTGAATCAGGATAACAAGGGGGCGGGTCTAAGAGACGAGACAACACAAGCACATGACCAAAACACAAGGCCATGTGCTTGCACACAGAACATGGGTCTGTCATGATCCTGCCGCAATACTAAGAGAATCACGGACATGATGGCAGAATCATGACACTAATGATCATCCTTAATTGTGCAAGGGAACCCCACCCTTATTTATTTTTTAAATAGGCACTTATATATATTTGTATGAATAAAGACCCAATTAATATGGTGAAAATTTATATAATAAATTAGTGTAAAATATCATTTGGGAAATACAGTATTTAGACTTTATTACATTACCTTATTACGTTTTATTTCACTATAGTACTTTACTGCTAGATGTATTTATTTATTTAATAAATAAAAAAATATGTACTCATTTTCATTGATCTTGTTTAAGCTAGTTGAAGCTTATTTTTTATTATTTACTTATACACTGCTTTTCACTGAACTTTTCCACGGACCCAAAGTCGTCTTTAGTTACTTAAAGCTGCAGTCCGTAGCTTTTTCTGGGTTAAAAATGATCCAAAATACATATTTGAGAAAATACATAACCAGTCAGTGTTCAACGCTATCTGCTTGCCTTAGCTCGATTCAAAGCGGTAAGCTTGTAATAATGTTTTTTAACTACAGTGGTACTGGTGGATTTCCGCGGGAGATTCGAGCATGTCTTTGCGTCATATCTGTCAAATCTGTACACATAAAGAAGGAGCCTCGGCTAGTATGAGCCTCTGGTATAAGCTATATTGTGTGTGAGGATGTTGGAGGTGGAGATTTATAGCCTTTTCTCAAAGCACTTGACTTGATATAATTAAACTTATCAATTTGATGGCGGATCCAGAAAGGTTCCAACGACAATCACCAGTGACAACAGATTCACCCGTTGTAAAATGCAAAAGACTTTTTTCGGACTTCGGAGTGGCTAACTTACAGAAAAAAAGAGACTGCAACCGGACCCATGCGAAAACAAGGATACATATCGGAAGGACATTACATGTAGTCACGCAATGCTGACGTTGTTAACATTAACAAGTTGAGAACAAAGTATAATTTGCACGGTTTTGCGTGATGATAAGCGATTGTTAGATTTAATCAGCGCGATTTACTGCAATGTCAGAACCAGAACAAAAGTGGATGTTACTTACTTGTTCAGATGACATTTTCCGGTGAAAATGATTATGTTAGTCATACTTCCGAAAAGAATAATCTGTGATTCTGAATGCCAGTATCGACACCGGCGTGGTGATTGACAGCTGCACACTCTCCTCAATGTGTTCATCCGCGCTGTGCGGTGTCGAACTACAACTCACGTAAAGTTGATAATTCCGTGAATGACTGCAATTGCAGATTTCGATCAGAGATGGCGACAAAGGAAAAAATGCGGACTGCAGCTTTAATTTTGGGGCACAGTTAGTCTGTGGTAATTACAATAAGCTTAATTTAAGAATAACAGATGTCAAAGAGAAGTTAGCTATCATTTAGTAAAAATACACGTTTGACTTACTTTAGGGGAAAAAAGTGAAAGAGAGATGGAAACAAGAGAAAGTTTTCAGACTGAATCATCTGCGCTGTTGTCCTGACTGCTGGTCTAGCAAACCAGATCTATGTGTTTCCCTGATAAACAGGTTTACTAGCGAATTATAAAGAACCTAACACTTGTATTAATCTATCATAAATTCATTTAGTACATTTGCAGGTGTTACATGTATGTCCTGTGTTTCCCCCGTTCTTTGTGTATTTGGTTCAGTCCTGTTTCCAGTTTCCCGCTCCTCGTTAGTGTTTAGTTTATTCACCTGTGTCTAGTTCATTTGCCCCAGCTGTGCCTTGTTTCCCTAATCTGTTCTCTGTGTATGTAAACCCTGTGTTCTCCCTCACTCCTTGTCGGTTCTCGTTCGTATGTACGTTTGTGTTTGGTGTGTAAAGTTACAGTGTTGTCCTGAGTTTGGAATTAAATCCTGTTTACTTCTATTCTTCGTCTCCTTGTGCTTCCTACCACCGTGTACCGTAACAGAAGAACCGACCAAAAAGGAAAAGGAAAAAAAGAAGAGGAAGATGGAGATCTGGGAGCTCGCGGGACAGATCACGGCTTTGGCGCTGGATAGCCGTGATCTGTTCCACTTTACCTGGGGCTTTGTTCCACTCGCTGCCTCCTGCTCGCTGGGCGATGAGATAATCAAGGCGTGTTACCGGCGAGGGGCCAAGGTGGTCGACCCAAGGGAACTTCCAGATCTCTCTGGTCTGGACTGGAGAGAGGCACTCTCCAGATGTCTGGAGAGCTTTCTCCCATGGCACGCCGTGTCCGCACCGCTGGTTCCGTCCAGCCCAGCCAAGCCCGCACCGCTGGTTCCGTCCAGCCCAGCCAAGCCCTCATCGCTGGTTCCGTCCAGCCCAGCCAAGCCCGCACCGCTGGTTCCGTCCAGCCCAGCCGAGCCTTCACAGCTAGTTCCGTCCAGCCCAGCCGAGCCTTCACAGCTGGTCACGTCCAGCCCTGCCGAGCCTGAGCTTCCCTGCAGCCCTGCCGAGCCAGAGCTTCCCTGCAGCCCTGCCGAGCCTGAGCTTCCCTGCAGCCCTGCCGAGCCTGAGCTTCCCTGCAGCCCTGCCGAGCCTGAGCTTCCCTGCAGCCCTGCCGAGCCTGAGCTTCCCTGCACGCCTGCCGAGCCAGAGCTTCCCTGCACGCCTGCCGAGCCGGAGCTTCCCCGCACGCCTGCCGAGCCGGAGCTTCCCTGCGCGCCTGCCGAGCCAGAGCCTTCTCCGCTGGTCCCGTCCAGTCCTCCCGAGCCTTCTCCGCTGGTCCCGTCCAGTCCTCCCGAGCCTTCTCTGCTGGTCCCGTCCAGTCCTCCCGAGCCTTCTCCGCTGGTCCCGTCCAGTCCTCCCGTGCCTTCTCCGCTGGTCCCTTCCAGTTCCCCCAAGCCTGTCTCTGAACCCGTCACTCCCCCCAAGAAAATTTTGGGGGGGGGATATAAGCCACCCGAGGGACAGTTACCACCCTGGCCACCTGAAGTGGCCTCTCCACCCTGGCCACCTGAAGTGGCCTCTCCACCCTGGCCACCTGAAGTGGCCTCTCCACCCTGGCCACCTGAAGTGGCCTCTCCACCCTGGCCACCTGAAGTGGCCTCTCCACCCTGGCCACCTGAAGTGGCCTCTCCACCCTGGCCACCCGAGGGAAAGTCTCCACCCTGGCCACCCGAGGGAAAGTCTCCGCCCTGGCCTCCTGCACGTCCTGCTCCGCCCTGGCCTCCTGCACGTCCTGCTCCGCCCTGGCCTCCTGCACGTCCTGCTCCGCCCTGGCCTCCTGCATGTCCTGCTCCGCCCTGGAGGCTTCCTGCTCCGGGTAGGCCACTCCCTCGTCAGCCTCCAGGGCGCCCACCCCCCCACCCTTATTGATGTTACTCGGCGCGAGGACGCGCCTTGCAGGAGGGGGAGCTAATGTTACATGTATGTCCTGTGTTTCCCCCGTTCTTTGTGTATTTGGTTCAGTCCTGTTTCCAGTTTCCCGCTCCTCGTTAGTGTTTAGTTTATTCACCTGTGTCTAGTTCATTTGCCCCAGCTGTGCCTTGTTTCCCTAATCTGTTCTCTGTGTATGTAAACCCTGTGTTCTCCCTCACTCCTTGTCGGTTCTCGTTCGTATGTACGTTTGTGTTTGGTGTGTAAAGTTACAGTGTTGTCCTGAGTTTGGAATTAAATCCTGTTTACTTCTATTCTTCGTCTCCTCGTGCTTCCTACCACCGTGTACCGTAACAGCAGGTCATCGTGATGTAAATCTTTCCTCTTTTTTACTGAGCTTGTAAGACCTTCCAGATTTACGTTTATATAGCATTAAAACACATTCACTGACCTCAAGCAATATGTTTTATAATTTTGTTTCTGAAGATGGATGAAATTGTCATGTAAAGTTGCTGTAACAAAATATCTCAATCAAAAAGTAAGTCAAAAGCCCAAAAATTATAAATGTGGAAACTATTCATGCTTCTACTGAAGATATGTTTTATCTAGAAACATTTTAGACCTAAAACAAAAGGAGTTGAACATACAGCATTTGCTGCGCTGGTTCAGGTCAGTCCAAGTGCCGTCAGGGAGACACTTCCTAACCTTTGGTCCCACAATCACTCTGCTCCCTCTGCAGATGTACTCGATTTCATAATCCACCGGCAACACCTGAACACTACGAATCTGCATCCAGAAAGAGAATCACATAATCACTGTTAAAAAGTGTGGGTCGGGTCAGTAACATGAATTTGGACTTAAATTAAATTCACCAAAAGTGACAGTACAGACATTTATAATTTTTCAAAAGATTTGTATATCAAATAAATGCTGTCCTTTTGGACTTTCTATTCATCAAAGAATCCTAATATATATATATGTATATATGGTTCCCACAAAAATATTAAGCAGCACAAATGTTTTTAACTTGAGAAATGTTTCTTGAGCAGCAAATAAGTATATTAGAATTATAATTTTGAAGGATATTATGACACTGTAGACTGGAGTAATGATGCTGAAAATTCAGCTTTGCATCACAGGAAAAAATAGCATTTTAAACTATATTAAAATAGAAAACATGTTTTTTAAGTTGTAAAAATATTTCACTGTATTACTATACTGTATTAATATAATATATACTGTACTGTATTTTTGATCAAACAAATGCCCCATGGTCAGCATAAAATACTTTTTAATTTTAAAATAATTAAAAAAAAAATATATTACCGAGCCCAACATTTTCAACAGTAGCATAAACTTGTCCATCTATCCTCCAAACTCACACAGATACACATATTTAATATAATAAATTAATAATAAATTAAATACTTCACACCTGTTCCTGGGTCAGGCCCCTGTATCTGATCCCTCCATCTCTTGGCGGACGAATGATAGCACAACCTGATGGAAAAAATATGTAGATAATGAAAGATAATCATGTTCTCTGAAGGATGTCTGGGAAATCCTACTTACCGGTATTACATTTACATTTATCACAATCTGCAATGCTCATTTTGTCCGTTAGATGGCAGTCTCTCCTTTCTGAACATCTAAGGGAGCTTAGAGATAGCAGAAGCAATGGCGACAGCCATGATGGAAGCTCCTGTGACGGCCTGAGTCGTTTGTTTGAATTCGCCATTCTTGCCACATTTAATAGGATGCTATAGGCCTATATATGTATATATATATTATATATATTATCTTCCACTTGACAAGAAACTCCCACAAAAATTTTAATGGTTTCACTAGCAGAGCCTATTGTACAGACTACAAATATAGACATATCTAGTAGGCTACTAGTACTCCTCAACACATAATTTTCCATTATATTTGAGTCATTCATGTCTCTGCGTAAATGTCTGCGTGTCCCCTGGGCTCAAGGCTCTGCCGGGGATTTGCTGTCAGAATGAAAGAGCGCTGTAGCTGTAGCCTGTTATTACAGCCTGGTTCACCTATACAGTGTCAGCAGCTAATTACAGTCATCACCAAACCCAGTGCCCAGGGGCAAGACAGACCAGCATGACTGTGTGCACTAGTGTGTTCACACGTGCCTGTGTGTATTAGTCATTTTGTGTGTAAGGGTATTTTTAGGGACAAAAACATGAGCAGCATTATCAAAATCAAATGCTTCCCATTGGCTCGCTGTTTGCAGCTTTGAATAGACTGTAGAGTAGTTTAAAAAGTCTACTCTGAACAACATGTATTCTGGCATTTTGTGTGACTGCACACTGTATTCAAGAAGACCACGTACACACTGCAGATGAATAGGCCTACAGCTTTCACTCTTCGACTGAATGCTTAATCTCATTCTGTATATGGAACGGGTCAGGATGGCCGACTGGTCGTCAATAACGGCACTTTGTTAGCTTTAATTTTTTAGCAGTGTGGTTTAACCCCTTAACTGTCACCGTCCCACTAGAAGGAAGCTTGGCGCTCTATTTATTTATTGCCTTATTTTCGTATAACATATTTTTAGTAATCATGATAAATTAGGTAGCTATCATTTGAAAGCTTACGTACTCAAAATTCATCCTGTGAAAACCATTTTGAAAATGGACATTGCGTTACCATGGAAACGGTACAGTAAATTCTTTTAGCAGGCTCCTCCCCCAGTGGGCGGTGTCAGGTTTCATATTACAAAATGTATAGTATATTATAATATAATATAAAATGTATATATTTTTTTTCCTATATGAAAGTCAACTGTCAGGTTTCTGTAATTCTGTCATTCTTCAAAATATCTTCCTTTGTGTTCAGCAGAAGAAAGAAACTCATACAGGTTTTAAAAAACTTGAGGGTGAGTAAATGATGACAGAATTTTCATTTTTAAGTGAACTATTCCTTTAAGGTAACAAGGTAGGCTACATACAAAATACTTCTGTAGACAGAGTGGTTTATTAAAAAATTACTCGATATTAATAAATCTCCATCGCTAATATTAATCTGGTCAAAAAATGGTTAACATCAAAAATGGTTAAACTGTTGGCTTCCATGTTTTTATGTTTGCCAACATGTTGTTGTTTTTTACTTCCATGTTTCTTGTTTACAAGACACAAAACATTGGCAATGGCTTTTTCATTAATGGCTATTATAAATGGCAGTCAACACTCATCTGACAGGCGATATAGTGTATAGTGTGACAAGGGGGGGGGGGGGATTATATACGTGAGGATTTATGTACTTATTATAGCTGTCAGACATCTAATAGGGTTGATATTGTGTTTCATTAGTCGTTCAGCTTGGGCAAAGGAGACTAGCTAAGCTTGTAATATCTGAGATAGGAAGGAAGCAATTAGAGCTGGATGGAGAAGACGTGAGAAAAAATTCAATTCTAGATGCTGACTGATGCGACCAGTGAATAAGACTATTTTACACACCCGGAATATCAACACACTACATAGCAAACAGAAACAATTAAACAAATAGATGCACACAAAAACTGACACACAAATCCCTTGAAATGCTCTCTCCCTCACACATACACATATGTTGGGTTTTTGTGCTGTACAAACTTTACATGTTACCTTAACCCTACCTAAACCTTACAGAAGATGATGTTTTTACAAAAAATAAAATAAAATAAAATAAAAAACATAATTTAGTATGATTTATAAGCTGTTTTCTTCGTGGGAACCAAAATGATGTCTCCACAACATAAAAAAATGTTTTCCTATCCTTGTCCCCACAACAATACCTGGACCACACACACACACACACACACACACACACAATTAAAGTTGGGGGCCAATACCTTTTCCTTATTAAAAAATAATAATTTATTTGTAATTGAAATAAAGCTAACAAAAAATTAAATGTAAATATTTGATTATTTAAATTAATATTTAAACAAATTAAAACAAAATTTGTGTTGCCTTGGCAATTAACTGAAATCAAATAAGTTGAAGTACTAAAATTAAAACTGAAGTAAAAAAAAAAAATATTATACTACTTTGAAGCAAAAATAGGGAAAAAAAACTAATAAAAATTGACAAAGAAATTACAAAACTTAAACTAAAATGAACTGAAAGTGACCTGAAAATACAATAAGTAAAATCTAATTCAAATTTTAAATATTAATAAATACTAGTATATAAATAAAACTAAAATAACCAGTTTCATTCAATAAAAATACTGGAAACACTGCTCTGAAATGTATGAAATGAGAAGTCATATTGAGTGCTGAATCTATTGTGAATCAATAGTGAAATTATGTTTTGGCTGAGTTCTGAACTTTGCAGTTTGTGAATGAAAGAAAAACTTTTATTTTATGTGATACATCCACGCCACAAGGTGTCAGTATAAGTCCAAGACAACCATATCGGCCAGTACAAAACAAACACCATATTACTGAGTGCACATTTAAACACAAATAGTATTGTTTAGTATTTTTCTTAAGTATATAATTTGTACTGAATTACAGTTCCCATCCTTATAAATAAAGTAAAAAAACAAAAAAACAAATTACAACTGAAAACAGGAAATAGAAAAGTTACACAAATCCATATGTAAGAAAAAAAAAGTGCAAACACATCTCCATTACCTGTGGTCGTATTACGTGAGGCTATGGTGAGGGAGAAAGACCCGAGGAGAAACGAAAGAACAAACGTGAGGGCCATTCTTCCACCTGCAGAACAAGAGAAAGAGAGAGTCGATGCATTATCAGAAGAGGAACGGGTGAGTGTGAAAACCCTTAGAGAGTGATGGCGAGTGATTGTCTAAGGGTGTGAGATGAGTGTGAGAGAGGGCCCCTGAAGGACGAGAGGAAAGGAGGAAGTACAGTAGAGTAGGGAAGAGACAGGAAAGTGGTGGAGGTTGAGAGAAGGAGGCATGTGGCGAGGAGAGAAGCAGAAGGGTAGTGAAGACAGACGGATCTGAACAGCTGATCTCCTCTTCTAGATTCACAGTTAGTCTACCACGACTAACCAAATGAATCACTCACGGCAGGGTGCCTTCCCTTACTCAGCCTACAGATCTGCTTAATATCTGCATCAAGGTGCAAGCCATCCCCCATCAATATTCCCTTTCCGCCTAGCTGCTTTCTGACTCAGACGTGCCAACAAGCGCCACTGTTGGTGTAGATGGGGGTGGACAAGATGAATGATAGCTGTTGTTTCAGTCAATGGCTATTGTGTATTTATTGGTGTTGTTTTTGACATCAAGGGTCCCATTTTGTTAGTATTAGCATATGCATAGCAATTGAGATTCATATGCAGTAGACACTAAAGTCTTGAATTTGACTGGCTGAGCAGCATTCCTAAAATGATAACATAGTAACAATGATAACAGCGTATGAAAACATCACAATGATAACAGCACTGTACATTAGTGAAGGGGATTTTTCAGTGACTTTTTCTGCAGATTGCACTTATGGCAGGAGACGATGACAAGTGACTGTTTTTATAAGTGAATCACTGAGTCATTGCCTCAACCAATTAATTCAACAACACTAATTCATTGAGAAATTAAACAAGTGACCGTCTTTTTGCACAAGTTATTGAATGAATGACTCAACCGATTCATTCCACAACACTGATTCTTTCAGGAATGAAACAAGGTGCTGTTTTTAAGAATGAGACATTGAATTATTTGCTCAGCCAATTCATTCAAGGTACGAATGAAGTGACTGTCTTTATGAGTGAGTGATTGAATTATTGACTCAACCAATTCATTCAACAACACTGATTTATGTAGGAACAAAACAAATGACTGTCTTTATGAGTAAAATATTTAATGGCTGACTCAATTGACTTATTTAAGAACACTAACTCATTCAGGAATGAAAAGGTGACTGTATTTATGAGTGAGTCAATGAATCTTTATCTTAATCGATTAAAAACACTGATTCATTCAGGAACAAAACAATTGACTGTCTTTAAATCACTTACATCGAGAAGCATCCGACTGTGCATGAATCTTACAATTTGACTTAAAGGGGCTATATGTAGAATTCAGTAACCATTGTTATTAGCGACACCAGTGGCCGTTAAGTGAACTGCAGCAAGCAACTTATTGCTTGTGCTCGCACTCATACACACATTTCATAGTGAGGCGAGCGAGCCTGAGCCAAATCAGTGACGTAATGTACAAGAGACTGAACGTCATTCAAGGCCATGATATACTCACGACAAAGTTCCTTTTCGTTATTTGCTTAGAAGTAAAAAAAAAAGTTGGAAATACCTTTGCTGCGATATACTATTAACGAATATCGTGATGCCATCCATGCTGATGAGAGGGACGTTTAGATGAATGGGCTATGTTAAAGGATTAGTTCACTTTAAAAAAAACTTTTGCTGATAATTTACTCACCCCCATGTCATCCAAGATGTCCATGTCTTTCTTTCTTCAGTCGAAAAGAAATTAAGGTTTTCGATGAAAACATTCCAGGATTTTTCTCCATATAATGCACTTTACTGGGTACCAAACGGTCCAAGGTCCAAAAGACAGTTTCAGTGCAAACTGCAAACTGTTCAAAGGGCTTTAAACGATTCCAGACGGTGAATAAGGGTCTTATCAAGCGAAACGATCGGTCATTTAAGAAATAAATAACAAAGTTTAAGTTTTATAAGCTCACATGCTCGCGTCGCTTTGTTCTGTGTGACTCTCCTGTTCGAACTCGTTCATCAAAATGAACAAATCTTTTTACGAGTCATTTGATTCATTAACGACCGAAATGAACGAATTGACTCTGAAAAAGATTTGTTCATTTTGATGAACGATCAAAATGAACAAATCTTTTTCAGAGTCAATTCGTTCATTTCGGTCGTTAAATGAATCAAATGACTCGTAAAAAGATTTGTTTCGTTTGGTACCCAGTAAAGTGCATTATATGGAGAAAAATCCTGGAATGTTTTCATCGTAAACCTTAATTTCTTTTCGACTGAAGAAAGAAAGACATGGACATATTGGATGACATGGGGGTGAGTAAATTATCAGCAAAAGTTTTTTTAAAAGTGAACTAATCCTTTAATATGCACTGGACGCTTTCCTCTCAATAATAAAATAAATACACTGACAGCAGTGAGAAAACAGCAGTTATGAAAGCATCCATAGCGATATGGATATGTTTGCACCAGCTCTGCAATTTACTGGCATGATGTCGAAAGATGAGGTAATTAAAATTACATTGTTATGACTATAAAGTATATTTGAGACTAGACCATACAGTATAGATCTGGCTATGTGGGACTATAGTTTGAATTAATCCCTTTTCTTTGTATCACACATTGACATTACAGTACAGAATGGCTCTTTCGACATTATCCTAAACATTGTATAAGTATTCATTAATGTGTCATTGTAGTTGACCTTGTTGAATCATTACAGATTAACTTTGTTTATGTCAATGTTACCGTGGTGAAACAGCAAAGTTTTTTATTTTGTTGGAGTCTGTGTTGTGCTGTGCATTTGTTGACATTAGTGGACTCCATCTGGAATAGAATGGAAGGCTCTCGGGAGCACGCGTAAACATCACATCCTTTTGATTTTCCCAGCAAAAACGTCCTTCACATAAAAATCACTGTGCATGCTTTCATAGACAACCTAGGAAGGTCTCGTTTTTTTTTTTTTAAGTTCCATCACAAGCTGTTTACACATTAGCAATAAAAATTATTTCATGTAGCCCTTTTAAACCATGTATTATGTTGCAGCTCCTAATAACGTTACTGGCCAACTGGCGAGTAACTCACTAAAGCCAATTTCTACTTGCATTTGGAGCTTGGCGAGTGTTTATTTTGAACCTTGTTGACAACGCCGAAGTAAATGGGAACATAGAAAGGAAGATGTATACTGTAATAGCAGGGCATGTTCATAAGTCCCTATAATGAGTGTGGAATTGCAGGGAAGCAAAAGAAAAACATGCTTCAAAGAGCTGAAAAACCACAGAGAGACAAATCTGGGACATAGAGCACGTAAACCACCAGCTTCGTTCGCGGAACTGGGGCCAATGCACACACACGCTCACGTTCACTCACACACAATCTGATTAGACAGCCAACAATCAACCAGGACTAATCTACATAAATTAATTTCACCCAAATGATATGCTAATTTAAAATACAGGTAGCAAAGCAGGAAGTCTCAACTCCACCAGAATGCTTTACACTTCCTTGCGCTGTAATCACAATGGAAGCAATTTCTAGAGATTATTCACGGCTTCTAACTGTTCTCAAAGGAGTATGAACGAGTATATGAGCCATAACACATTTCATCCCACACTATAAAAGCAGACAAGGTTTTCCGCCGTGGGAGAGCAGTGTGCTGTAAAGGCGGTCTTTGCATGAAAGGCAGGTTAGGATTAACTTTAGCTGGAGAGGAAAGATTTTCATGAATGCAATGAACATATGGAACTGCCGTACAGCCTTGACAGGAAAAAAGAGAACGAAAGGGAGAAATAGACAGAAGCTAGCATACTGCCTTGCTGTCTACATTGGCAGCTGTCTTCTAAGGGGCTGTGCACACAGGACATGTTCTTGCGTTCTGTCTGCGCTAATTGTTGGTCTATGGTAAATATGGACTAGACAAACATCTTTGTCCGTTACGGAACGTCTCACACCACAAGTGTGTTGTTCTTACGATTCTATGCCATGTTAAAAATAGTTTATAACATGCAGTGCAGTAAATCAATGTCAGTTTTAAACAATGGACCAATGAGGGCTTCTCGGATGAACCTGAGGACTTCTTATTTACACATGTTCAAGAATATTGAGTGTTAAAGATAGTTGCATGCATGTCCATACGCTTTTTGTAATTAACATAGATATTTTTGGTTACAATTTAAACAAATCTATATGGAAATTTCTTCCCCCCCCATAGTTTTATTTTATGCTCCTGCAGTCTTTCAAATTATATGAGCTCATTAAAGCAGCACATATAATAATTAGCAAAATGCCATGACAACAAATTTCCAAAAGTATTTAATGTCAAGCAGGCTACCCATTAGCAAAGGTGTATAGGAGTTAATGCCGCTATAAACATGCCTTCTGTTCAATTCTGTTACGCTCCATCAAGCTGTTTTTTTTATGCTAGGATGTGTCCTGTGTGAATGTGCCTGAAGGAATCATCATAATAGAAATGTAGCCACATAAGAGACTGATTTAGAATGCTAAATAAACACTGTGCAACACAAGCACTACATATATTAGTGCTCCTCACATGAAGCACACAAGAGTTGTGTCCCAAATAACATACTATACATATGCACTTATACTATACACTATACTCAACCATCAAGTGTATGAGGTATGAGGTGTACCAATGGCCACGTACACGCTGCAAAGTTTTGGGAATTACATCCGCATTTATGCGGGATTCACTCTTGAAATAGCAATGATTGACATTGATAGCCATAGCATTGTTTGTTCCTGAATAAAGCAGCCTTTTTCACTGAAATGTTTGAATAGTCTGCTGACCGACTTACTCACTCATAACAGTCCTTTGTCGCCACCTACTGGACGTAACTATGTAAAAAACGCGTGTACTGAAATCGTTGAAAAATCCCCACCAACACACAGACTGACAGCCTGTTTTGTCACAATTTATAAGTTTAATATCTAATAAACTAGTTTTCTGCATTTGATTAAGTCTTTTGGAACAAACATTATTATCACAGTGTCACATCAATCATCC